TAAGGACGTGTGTACGAGGAGGAGCAGCAATATCAACATAATGAGAGAGAGCAGTCCTATAACTAGTGGGGCAAGGGAATGGATGTGGTTTAGTAGCTTCTGGGTCAACATTAGTGAGACTGAAAACAGAGTCAAGATCTATTCCTAATAATTCCCCAATCCTCTCAACTTGTTGTGGATCATTCATTGGGAATATGGCAACATGATCTCCTGCTACATAAGAGAGCTTGCTACCAGTGATGTCCAGTTCTATGTGCATACAAGAGCGATCACCTCCTTTATGTAGCTCTCTTATAACTGTGACTGGAGCCAGGAATGGGTTCTTACTGTTGTAAGGGCTAAAGGGAGAGACAAGAAATGAAACAAAAAGATGGTACAAAGTTTATTATACAATTTTACACTATTTTTCATAATAGGCATTTTCAGGACAGGTTTCTTAATTCACTGATTTGGGTGTGCAATTCTAGATATATTGGTGGGAAATTAATGTTATTCAATTAGTTGCAGCAGTAAGCAGCTACTGATTGAATCTGCACTAAATCTAACTAATCCACAATTAGTTATTAATAATAATAACTAATCTGCACTAATCCACTAAATCTGCCATTCTGTTTCATTCTGAACATGCTCATGACACATGGGCTACAAAATCACCAGTATAAAATCTAAAGCCCATAACTACATGTACAGTCCACTTGTATTCACCTGAGCCCAGGAAGTGATTACAGACCCCACCCGATAATTAACAAAATACAATAATATTGTGAAAAGAATGGCTCCAATTTCTACATGGGTTATACAACCAGCTTGGGAGCTAAAGAGCTATAGCTGCTTCTTGAGTACCACAATAAATGAAGGAGAAAAAAGCACTGATATACTTATTTTTACAATAAAACTTGTAAGTCAAAAGTTATAGCAAGAAAATAAGGACTCAGGTGAACACAAATGGACTTTAGCAATAATTCTGCCTGTAAGCCTTGTATGGTATACCAATACATTTGTTTCACTTTGCTTAATTCTTATGGATTTTCCCACAGCAAAATAAAATATAGTGAACTGAAACATATCATTTAGTGCCTTAAACATATCATTTAGTGTACATATACAATGAGTTACAGTAAAGGATGAGGGACAGAAAAAAGAGAGAGATCCTTACACTTTCTGGTTCTTATATGATCCTAGTCTGTTTGGTTCTCCAGTAAATACTTCATCAGTTGATATCTCAGTATGAAGACTGAACTCATACTCTCTACCAACAGCTGTTGCTTGACTTGAATCTATTTTGAAATACTGCATCACCTCAGGCCACAAACCTTCCTTCCATGTAATGAAATCCTCTTCAATGCTACAGAGAAAGAAGGAGAGAGGAAAGAAAGAGGGAGAGCAAAAAGAAAAGGGAAACAAGAGGGAGGGTTATGTATCATTATACATACATGTATTATAATTATATATTCATACATGTACATGTATATGCATAATTGCACGAGTACATGTACATGTACATGTATCTATTATCTATGAACCTCCCCCCTCTCCTCTTATTAAACTCCATACAATGTTTCACTTACTTTCCATCATCATCTCCTTCTCCTCTCACATATATTCTCTCTCCTCCTAATTCTTCTAATCTCTGATCAACGTAGCGTCCCATCTCATTATAATGTTCATATGTTTTATTACCCAATCCAAAGACCTATAGTAACAATAACAACAATAATAACTAATAGAAACCATGGTACATCTAGTGAATAAACACTAATACATGTAGTTTCCCAAAAAAAAACTAAATGCATAAGCTAAAAATTCAAGTTGTAACTTGTGACTATTACTATCCCACCTCCTGACCCAGTAAAGTCTTCCAGTACTATCCCTTTTACTAACTCATTCAAAAAATTGTGTATTTCCATTTTGTTCTTGACAATTGAAAAATAATAGCAAGAATAATAAGTTTGTGTCAAACAAACTTTGTGTAAAGCACCAGTATTTAAAGTTGTAGTGACAACAAGAATGAACAATTAAATAATAAGAAAATGACAAAATAAAATCATCATGCAAATAAGACCTTGTAGGCTTGCACCTACATAGTGTTATTTTTCTGCCTTGCATTCTCTTACACAAATATTATTTTGACATTAACAGTTTGCTTTTCACTATCGTAAGTGCTTAAAGTTTATCTACTAATAGTATATGGAGTCAGTGTATGTAGTTATTGTGATTGCTGTAT